GTTCAACTATTTCCAAAATTTGGTGTTCCTCACAGTACTAAAATGACTGCTCTTTTCTCCTTGTTTACATTATTGACATGTGTGTGTGTGTGTGTGTGTGTGTGTGTGTGTGTGTGTGTGTTTTACTAAGATATAAGCCAACAGGAAAAGCATAACCCAGAGTGTGGGATTGATGGGTCAAAGCTTAGGAACATGCTCAGTTTGCTACCAACTTCTCTCTACAACGTTGTACCATTGTACCAATAATGAATCAGGGTTCCAATTTTCCTACATCTTGGTCAACACTTCAGATTGTCGGGTTTACAAACGTTTGCCAATCTGAAGGGAATGAAATAACAACACATCATTATTCCTTCACATTTCTCCAGTTCCTCAGAGGCTGAGCATCTTATATTTATTGAGCAGTTGTGTTTCCTCTGCAGTTCTATGCAGTTCTTTCCCCATGATATATTGGATTGCTTGTTTTAATCTTTCTGTTTGTAGGCATTCTTCGTATACGCTGATGCTAATACCGTCATGTCTGTGTTGCAAATATATCCTTTCAACCCATACTTGTCTTTAAAAGAACTTTTTATTTTGAAATAATTACATATTCACAGGAAGTTTCAAAGATAGTGGAGAGAAGTCCTGTGTGCTTTTGAGTTTCGTCCAATAGTTTCATCTTCAGTCATTATAGTGCAACGTCAAATCCAGAAAATTTCCATTGGCACAAAGGTATAGTTTTAGGGTAAATTTGGGTACCTATCACACTCATCAAGAACAATTCCACCACAAAGATCTCCCTTATGCTATTTCTTGACACTCATATACATCCATTTCTCTGTCCCACCATTGCTAACCCTGAACCACTCATCTTTTTTCTGTTTCTAGAAGTGTGTAATTTCAAGAATGTTATATAAATAGAATCATAAAATATGTGACTTTTTGAAGTTGACTCTTCTCACTCAGTATAATACCTTTCGGATTTCTCCAGTTGTTGTGTCCATCAATAGTTTGTTCCTTTTTATTTCTGAGTGGTATTTCATGGTATCGATGTACCAGAGTTTTTGAACTATCCACCTATCGAGGAAAACTTTGATTCCTTTGAGTTTGGATCTATTGCAGGTACAGCTTCTATAAAGAATTATGTACAGGGTTTGGATGGACATAGAGTTTCATTTCTCTGGGCTGAATACCCAGGAGTGCTATTGCTGGGTTCTATGGTAAGTGCATAATTCACTTTTTCAGAAACTTTTCTAGGGGCACCTGAGTGGCTCAGTCAGCTGAGCGTCTGATTTCAGCTCATGATCTTGAGGTTTGTGAGTAGGAGTCCCCTGTCAGACTCTGTGCCGACAGCCTGGATCCTGCTTTAGATTCTCTGCCGCTCTCTCTCTCTGCTCCTACCTCTTTCCTTATGCTCTTTCTCTTCTCTCTCTCAAAAGTAAATAAATAAATCCACATTTTTTCAAACAAAGAGACTTTTCCCGAATGTTTACAATTTTACATTTCCATGAGCCATGTATGAGAGACCCAATTGCTCTGCATCTTCACTAGCAGTTGGTGCTGTTGGTATTTATCTTAGCCATTGTTATAGGAGCACAGTGACTTCTAACCTTGGTATTAATTTGCATTTTCCAATGGCTAGTGATGTTGAATGTCTTTTCATGAGTTTGTTTGCCATGTACATCTTCTTTGATGAAATGTCTCCTCATATCTCCTGTTCTTTTTCAAACTGAAGTTTATATTTTTTAGAGATTTTAACATATTTATTTATTTTAAAAATATTTAATGTCTACTTATTTTTGAGAGAGAGAGAGAGAAGCAGGAGGGGCAGAGAGATCTGAAGTAGGCTCCAGGCCTTGATTTCAGCACAGAGCCTGGCAAGGGGCACAAACTTGTCATTTGTGAGATCATGATCTGAGAAGCAATTGAATGCTTAACCAACAGGACCACCCAGGCACCCCAATTTTTATTTATTTTTGAGAGAGAGGTTTGAGCAAGGGAGGGGCTGAGAGAAGAGGATCCAGAGGATCCAAAGCAGGCTCTACACTGACAGCACCTACCCCTATGATGAGGCACTTGAACTTACCAAATGTGAGATCATGACCTGAACCAAAGTGAGATGCTCAACAGACTGAGCCACCCAGGTGTCCCTCTAACTGGAGTTTTTTAAATTAATATCTAATGTTTCAAAGTTGTTCTAGGATAGTATTGAGGAGAAAGTACAGAGATTTCACATATGTTTCCTTGCTCCTCTTTCAGTTTACCCTACTATTAATACCTTACCTTCGTGTGGTATGTTTGTTATAAGGGATGAGCCAATATTGATTCACTATTGCTAATTTTGGTCCATAGTTTACATTAGGGTCCACTCTTTGTGCTGGACATTGTGGGGTTTTGACAAAGGAATAATGACACGTATCCATCATTATGGTATCATGCAGAACAGTTTCACTGTCGTAAAAAACCCTGTGTTCCACCTATCCTTCCCTACAGCACTCCCTCCTCCCAAACTATGAGCAACCACTGAACTTTTTACTATCTTGATTGTTTTGTCTTTTCCAGAATGTCATATAGGTGGGTTTATAATTCGGTATGTAGCTTTTTCAGAGTGCATTTCTATTCCCTTCAGTATTTCCGTATTTAATCTGATCAAAGTGAGGGAGTAAGTCTTGCCTTAAGAATATTGAGACATGGGGGTGCCTGAGTGGCTCAGTCAGTGAAGCGTCCCACTTCGGCTCAGGTCATGATCTCACTGTTTGTGAGTTTGAGCCCCACATCAGGCTCTGTGCTGACAACTCTGAGCCTGGAGCCTGCTTCGGATTCTGTGTCTCCCTTGCTGTCTGCCCCTCCCATGCTCATTATCTGTCTCTCACTGTCTCTCAATGATAAATAAATGTTAAAATTTATTTTAAAAATTAAAAAATTAAAGAATATTGAGACCTGATGGGCTGAGCTTTCCTATACTCCTTGGGAACTGATAGGTGCAATGAGAAATCCTGGGGAATTCAATGCTACAGTAGGGGCTCCAACATTTCTGATATGAAGTAATAGAGTTGAAAAAGCTATTACTTGTGAAGTGCTGAGGATATGCTAAGGATAGCTAAAGGAAGTAGTTTCCCTTGAAAATAGTCTAGCTTCAGAAGGTATTAGAAAGTAAAGGCATGAATGTCTCTAAAATCCTTTGGTCCTATATTGATCAGTTTTGGTATATAACTAAGTGCTTATATGAATCTAAGAGAGGACTCCAAGATTTCCAGGGGAAAAAAAGAAATTAGGCCAAAATCTCTAATCCTCTAAATATGTCAACCCTTTAAGAAACACTCAGCGACATGGAGAAAATAAGGAGATAAGTTCACTGGTCACCTTATAAACATGACTTTCTGAAACTTACGCAAATACATTAATTCCATTAATGAATTTAACCTTCAGAAGCCTTAATTTTATAATGTTTTCTACTTGAAAAAAGTAAAAGTTGAGAAACAATATTTAAATGTAAATACTACACTCAGAATAGAATAAACATGATGTAGAAACAAGAAATATAGAAACAAAATGTTTCAACAAACAGGGCTAATGGGAGTGGGGAGAGGGGAAGGGGGTGATGGGAATGGGGAAGGGCACTTGTGGGATGAGCATTGGGTGTTATATGTAAACCAAATTGACCATAAACTATTTAAGAAAAAAAAAGAAACAGAATGTTTCTACATGATGTAGACACAAATGTAGAAACAAGAAATAAAAATTAGACAACTTTCTATCTAAGGTAAAGCATTTCTTTCTCTAAGCACTTCTAAATTGAGAAATAGGAAAATCTGACTTTGGAAGCATGGTCTTATTGCTGATAAGGAAACAATATATTTAAATTAACTTTTTTTTTTTGGCTTTTATTCCCACAGAAAACAACCTGAAAACTTCAGGTTGTTTTTTTTTTTTTTTTTTTTTCAAATAGTTTATTGTCAAATTGGTTTTCATATAACAGCCAGTGCTCATCCCCATAAGTGCCCTCCTCCATGCCCATCTCCCCCCTCCCCCCTACATCCATCAGTCCTCAGATTGTTTCTCAGCATTCAAGAGTCTCTCATGGTTTACCTCTCTCCCTTTCCCCCACCATTTCCCCCCTTCTTCTCCCCCATGGTCCTCAGTTAAGTTCCTCCTAATCCTCCTGTACGTGCAAACATATGATATTTGTCCTTCTCTGCCTGACTCATTTCGCTCAGCGTAACACCCTCAAGGTCCATCCATGTTGCTACACATGGCCAGATTTCATTGTTTCTCATTGCCATGTGGTATTCCATGGTATAGATAAACCACATCTTCTTTTTTTATTAAAAAAACATTTTTAATGTTTTATTTATTTCTAGGAGAGAGAGAGAGAGACACAGCGTGAGCAGGGGAGGGTCAGAGAGAGAGGGAGTCACAGACTCTGAAACAGGCTCCAGGCTCTGAGCTGGCAGTAGGCACAGAGCCCAACACGGGGCTCGAACCCACGAACCGCGAGATCATGACCTAAGCGAAAGTCGGACGCTTAACCGACTGAGCCACCCAGGCGCCCCAAACCACATCTTCTTGATCCATTCGTCCGTTGATGGACACTTAGGCTCTTTCCATGTTTTAGCTATTATTGAGAGTACTGCTATGAACATTGGGGTACATGTGCTCCTATGCATCAGCATTTCTGTATCCCTTGGGTAAATTCCTAGCAGTGCTATTGCTGGGTCATAGGGGAGTTCTATTGTTATTTTCCAGAGGAACCTCCACACTGTTTTCCAGGGGGGCTTCACCAGTTTTAAAACCAAAAGTCTTAAAGAGTTCCACTTCATGTGCCCTGATTGTGGGGAAGTACCGCTCCCCACCTCCATAATATAGCCTTTGGCTGATGGGCGCAGGCTGGGTTTTTGTCCTTTGAATAGTTATATACTTTCTTTCCACAGCACTTGAGGCAGTGGATTGCTTTCTGCCACTGTGGACTGCACATCGGAACTAGTTACGAGCCAGGGGCTTGCTCCCCTTTGCTGCAGGTGTGCGAAGATGGCAGCCAGCCCCGGTCCAGAGAAAGCCCCCACAGCTGGAGATTGGATCTTTGTCCATCCTGCCCATGGTTTTTCTCTTGTCCAGGTATAGTGCTATGCTTCCCCATCCACTCCTTCTCTTTCCTTTGTCTCTCCACAGAAGGGGATCCCTCCCATCCATGCTTACAAGGCCAATATTATCTCTCCTAGTTTGCAATCACGAACCTGTGGCCCACCAGATTGTCCCTGTGGGCCCCTAGAGATGTCTTTGTCACTCAGCAGCCCAAGCTCTTGGTCTGCCCAAAGCCCTTTGGTCTCAACACTGCTGTGTTTGAGGGATGAGGGAACTTCGGGTCCTCCTACTTTTCTGCCATGTTGGATCTCCTTGTTCGTCTTTCTTTCTTAAAACCACAATTTTCTTCTCAGTTCATTTTTCTCATGCTGGTTACATTCTTCAGTGTTCCTTTCAGATATGGGCCATGACTGATTTAAAAAAATTCCCCAGTTGCTGTAAGCCTGAAGACATATTTATTGTACCTTCAACCTTGAATGATAGTTTGGGGAGAGAACTCTAGGTTCAAAGTTGTTATTCCATAGCAGTTTGAACCTACTGCCCATATTCTTTTTGCACCCAGTCTTGCTAATAACTAGTTACTGTCAAATTCATTCTTCTTTTAGTAAATGATTCAAACTCTTTTCTCTTTTGGATTAAAAAGATCTTTAATGTTCTGAATGTTGACTGTAGTATGTTATATGTTTGACTTACGGATTCTGCTCACTCTTCTGGAAACTATTTAGTCTAAGGAGGTATGGTGGCAGTGCTTTTGCCCCCAGTGAATACTTGGGTATATCTAGAGAATTTTTTGCTTGTCATAACTGGGTGGGGAATGTTATAATCCCCAGGGAAGCTCCCCACAACAAAGAATTATTCAGCCCAAATTGCCAATGGTGCCAACAGCGAGAAAGCCTGAGGTACAGCTATTTTAGTTGTAGGCCTAGGTCTGACCAAGTGGGGGCCGGACAGAATTGGCCTCAGCCTCACAGCAACAGTTTGCAGCTGGGAAATTCAAACCTGACTTTGCAGCAATGACTATTCTGGCCTTGCAGTAGTGTCAGTCTCTGTTCATTACTGTAGTTTACCCCCACTCTTTCCTCTTTCTGCAAATGCCTTATGGTTTTGCTTGTTTGTTTGTTTGTTTTGTCCAGAGAGAGGAGCTCTTCTTATTTTCAAGCTTGACTACATAGTAATGTTTTACTTTTTCCTATAATTTACTTATTTTTAAAAAATTTACATCCCAGTTAGTTAGCATATAGTGCAACAATGATTTCCAGAGTAGATTCCTTAAGCCTCTTACCCATTTAGCCCATTCCACCTTTTCACAACCCCTCTAGCAAGCCTGTTTTTTCTCTATATTTGAGTCTCTTGTTTTGTCCCCTCCTTGTTTTTATATTATTTTTGCTTCCCTTCCCTTATGTTCATCTGTTTTCTATCTTAAAGTCCTCATATGAGTGAAGTCATTTGATATTTGTCTTTCTCTGACTGACGAATTTCGCTTAGCATGTTACCCTCTAGTTCCATCTACGTAGTTGGAAATGGCAAGATTTCATACTTTTGAATTGCTGAGTAAATACTTCATTGTGTGTGTGTGTGTGTGTGTGTGTGTGTGTATACATGTAAAACATCTTCATTATCCATTCATACATAAATGGACATTTGGACTCTTTCCATACTCTGATTATTATCAATAATGCTGCTATAAACATTGAGGTGCATGTGCCCTTCGAAACAGCATACCTATATCCCTTGGATAAGTACTTAGTAGTGCAATTGCTGGGTCTCAGGGTAGTTCTTTATAATTTTTTGAGGAGCCTCCACACTATTTTCCATAGTGGCTGCATCAATTTGCATTCCCACCAGTAGAGCAAAAGAGATCCTCATTTTCCGCATCCTTGCAACATCTGTTGTTGCTTGAGTTGTTAATATGAGCCAGTCTGATTGCTCTCAGGTGTTGTCTCAATGTGGTTTTGATTTGTATTTCCCAGAGGATGAATGATATTGAGCATTTTTCCATGTGTCGGTTGGCCATCTGGATGTCTTCTTTGGAGAGGTGTCTATTCATGTCTCTTGCCCATGTCTTCACTGGATTATTTGGTTTTTGGGTGTTGAGTTTGATAAGTTCTCTATAGATTTTGGATGCCAATCCTTTATCTGATATGTCGTTTTCAAATATCTTCTCCCTTTTCATCGGTTGCCTTTTACTTTTGCTGATTGTTTCCTTTGCTGTGCAGAAGCATTTTTTTTTTCTGGTTGAATCTTTTGTGTAGCATTTATTTATTTATTTTTAAATAGTTTATTGTCAAATTGGTTTCCATATAACACCCAGTGCTCATCCGCACAAGCGCCCTCCTCCATACCCATCACCCCGCTTCCCCTCCCCCCACCCCATCTGTCCTCAGTTTGTTCTAGGCATTCAAGAGTCTCTCATGGTTTGCCTCCCTCCATCTCCCCCATTAGTTTCCCCTACTTCTCCCCCATCGTCCTTCGTTAAGTTCCTCCCAATCCTCCTATACGTGCAAACATACGGTATCTGTCTTCTGCCTGGCTTATTTCGCTCAACATAACACCCTCGAGTTCCATCTATGTTGCTACACATGGCCAGATTTCATTCTTTCTCATTGCCATGTAGTATTCCATTGTATAGATAAACCACATCTTCTTGATCCGTTCGTCAGTTGATGGACACTTAGGCTCTTTTCAGGTTTTGGCTATTGTTGAGAGTGCTACTATGAACATTGGAGTACATTTGCCCCTATGCATCAGCACTCCTCTATCCCTTGGGTAAATTCCTAGCAGTACTATTGCTGGGTCATAGGGTAGTTCTATTGTTAATTTTTTGAGGAACCTCCACACTGTTTTCCAGAGGGGCTGCACCAGTTTACATTACCACCAACAGTGTAGGAGGGTGCCCGTTTCTCCACATCCTCGCCAGCATCTAGAGTCCTTTGATTTGCTCATTTTCGCCACTCTGACCGGCATGAGGTGGTATCTCAATGTGGTTTTGATTTGTAGTTCCCTGATGAGGAGGGACGCTGAGCATCGTTTCATGTGTCTGTTGGCCATCTGGATGTCCTCTTTGAAGTGTCTGTTCATATCTTCTGCCCATTTCTTCACTGGATTGTTTGGATTTTTTTGGGTGTGGAGTTTGGTGAGTTCCTTATAGATTTTGGATTCTAGCCCTTTATCTGATATGTCATTTGCAACTATGTTTTCCCATTCCATAGGTTGCCTATTAGTTTTACGGATTGTTTCCTTTGCCGTCCAGGAGCTTTTAATCTTGATGAGGTCCTAATAGATCATTTTTGCTCTTGAGTCCCATGCCTTTGGGGATGTGTCAAGTAAGAAATTGCTGCGCTTGAGGTCAAGGAGTTTGCTTCCTGCTTTCTCCTCTATTGTTTTGATGGTTTCCTTTCCCACATTCAGGTCCTTTATCCATTTTGAGTTTATTTTTGTGTATGGTGTGGGAAAATGATCTAGTTTCATTCTTCCACATGTTGCTGTCCAGTTCTCCTATCACCATCTGTTAAAGAGGCTGTCTTTTTTCCAATGGATACTTGAAGAGACTGTTTTTATTCATTGGATATTCTTTCCTGCTTTGTCAAAGATTAGTTGGCCATAGGTTTCTGGGTTCATTTCTGAGTTCTCTATTCTGTTCCATTGATCTGAGTGTCTGTTTTGGTGTCAGTGCCGTATTATCTTGATGATTCGAGCTTTGTAAGACATCTTCAAGTCCAGAATTGTGATGCCTCCAGCTTTGGTTTTCTTTTTCAAGATTGCTTTGGCTATTTGGGGTCTTTTCTGTTTCCATACAGATTTTATGATTGTTTGCTCTAGCTCTGTGAAAATGTTGGTGTTATTTTGGTAGGTATTGCATTGAATATGTAGATTGCTTTGGGTAGTATTGACATTTGAATACCATTTGTTCTTCCTGTCCAGGAGCATGGGATATTTTTCCTTTTTTTTTTTTTTTTGTTGTTGTTGTCTTCTTCAATTTCTTTCATAAGCTTACCATAGTTTTCAGTGTATCAATTTTTCACCTCTTTCGTTGGATTTATTCCTAGGTATTTTATGGGTTTTGTGCAATTGTAAATGGAATCGATTCCTTGATTCCTCTTTCTGTTGCTTCATTATTGGTATACAGGAATACAATGGATTTCTGTGCATTGGTGTTATATCCTGTGACCTTGCTGAATTCATGGATCAGTTCTAGCTGTTTTTTGGTGGAATATTTTGGGTTTTCCATATAGGTATCATGTCATCTGAGAAAAGTGAATGTCTGACCTCCTCCTGGCCGATTTGGATGCCTTTTATTCCTTTGTGTTGTCTGATTGCTGAGGCTAACACTTCCCAATACTATGTTGAATAACAGTGGTGAGAGTTGACATCCCTGTCTTGTTCCCGACCTTAGGAGGAAAGTTCTCAGTTTTTCCCCATTGAGGATAATAGTAGCTGTGGATCTTTCATATACGGCTTTTATGATTTTGAGGTATGATCCTTCTATCCCTACTTTATTGAGGGCTTTTATCAAGAAAGGATGCTGTATTTTGTCAAATGCTTTCTCTGCATCTATTGAGAGGATCATGTGGTCCTTTCCTTTATTGATATGATGTATCACACTGATTGTTTTGCGGATATTGAACCAGCCCTGCATCCCAGGTATAAATCCCACTTGGTCACGGTGAACAATTTTTTAAATGTATTGTTGGATCCGGTTGGCTAGTATCTTGTGGAGGACTTTTGCATCCATGTTCATTATGGAAATTGGTCTATAGTTCCCATTTTTTAGTGGGGTCTTTGTCTGGTTTTTGAATCCAGGTAATCCTAGCTCCATAGAAAGATTCTGGAAATTTTCTTTCCATTTGTATTATTTGGAACAGCTTCAACAGAATAGGTGTTAACTCTTCTTTAAATGTTTGGTAGAATTCCCCTGGAAAGCCATCTGGCCCTGGACTCTTGTTTTTTGGGAGATTTTTGATTACTAATTCTATTTCTTTACCGGTTATAGGTCTGTTCAAATTTTCTATTTCTTCCTGTTTCCGTTTGTAGTTTATATGTTTCTAGGAACTGTCCATTTTTTCCAGATTGCCCATGTTATTGATGTATAAACTCGCTCATAATATTCTCTTATTATTGTTCGTATTTCTTCTGTGTTGTTTGTGATCTCTCCTCTTTCATTCTTGATTTTATTTATTTGGGTCCTTTCCTTTTTCTTTTTGATCAAACTGGCTAGGGGGTTATCAATTGTGTCAATTCCTTCAAAGAACCAGATTCTTTGTTCTGGTTT